GTCTTTAGCTTAATTTCCCCCCTTGAAAATCTTAACATAGTACCATTAATATTTTATTCAGCACCTACCTACTATTTGCCAGGCTCTGTTCTAAGCACTTTTTTTTTTTTTAGATTTAATTTATCTTTATTTTCTAAAGTATTACAGATGTCCCTCCTTTTTCCCCCCATTAACCCCCTCCTCCCCATTCCCACTCCCGCCCCCACCCCTGCCTTCACAGCATTGCTATCTCTGTCCATTTGTTATGCATATATGCATATAAGTTCTTTGGTTTATTTCTTCCAGCCCTCCCCCAATTCCCTCTGAGGTTTGTCAGTCTGTTCCCTATTTTTATGTCTCTGGATCTACTTTGTTCATCATCTTATTCTGTTCATTACATTCCACAAATAAGTGAGATCATGTAGTACTTGTCTTTCGCTGACTGGTTTATTTCCCTTAACATAATACTCTCCAGGTTCTTCCATGTCATCTCAAAGGGTAAGAAGAGATCTTCTTTCTTACAGCTGCATAGTATTCCATTGTATAAATGTACCACAACTTTTTATTCTCCTCATCTACTGATGGACACTTGGGCTGTTTCCAGATCAAAGGTGGAAAGAAAATCCCATCTTTGCTGGCCAAGGTGGAAGAAGGTGAATGTTCATAGAGGACATCATGATACTTCTCACAGCCATCAGACGACCATTACAGAGAGATTTCTGAGAGGAATCTTAGATCAGTGATGGCTCAGGCATCTAACTGGGTAAGAAGCTCTCTGATAAATCTGTAGCATGTTCAAGCTGTGGACATTTCACAAAAAAATGCATCTCTATGAAGTGACACAAACTTACAAACAAGTTTCCAGAATTCTAACATTCCTGAATTTCTCTTCCCCAGCTCAGGGGATCCTCTGGCAGGAACGCATGCCCTGGATAGCCAAGCCCAAACACCAGTCCCACTTATACTGATATAGAAAGAAGACTCCCAAGGAGGTTCGGGCAGTAGTTCTTACTCCTATTTCTCCTATTCAGTAAGTCTGGTGTGCAATGCAGAAATATCACCTTTTAACAACCTTCCCAAGAGAGCCACCATATTTTGAGAATTGTGGGTTCACAGGATTTGCCCTAAAGTCACCCAGATAACATGAAGTCAAGACAGGACTGGCCCTAAGAAATTATTCCACCCAAGGAGTCCAAACTCCAACCAGTGGTTTGTTGGTGTTTTGTTTTGTTTTACCTTTCACACAACCCGAAAATATTCTCAAGTGAATTAAATGTTTAATGCTTTTCAAAATAACTATGTAAAGAAAGAAAGTTTGCATAGAAGAAAACTAGAAGGAAATACACCAAGTGTCTAGTAGTGGGCTCTCTGAGAAAATGGAATTATGACCTTTTTTCCCCTTCTATCTACTTTATTATCTTTTCCAGCTTTTGTACAATAAATATGTGTTCTACAGAATGAGACATTTTTGAAAGTAAACCTTACATTTAATATGTATATTTTTATCTTTGAATTTTGTAGACAGTTAATTTAGAACATTAAACCACTTAGTTTATATTTATTTTATTTTTAATCCTCACCTGAGGATATTTTTCCATTTATCATCAGATAGAGTAGGAGGAAGGGAGAGGGAGGGAGAGAGAGAGAGAGAGAGAGAGAGAGAGAAACATCGACTGGTTGCCTCCCCTACAATCCGACCAGGCCTGGGGACTAAGCGTAACCGAGGTAAGTCCCTTGACAGGAATCAAACCCGTAACTCATTGGTCCGAAGGCCATCGCTCTAACCGCTGAGCCAAACTGGCCAGGGCACTTAATTTATATTTTAAAAAATAAATAAAATAAAATATTGCTTCTTAAACTTAAATGTGCATAGTGTGAATCTTATCAAAATGCAGATTCTGATTCAGTAGGTCTAGGGCAAGGCCTGAGAGTCAGCAGTTCTAACTGATTCCTAAGTATTGCAATTGTTCCTGCTTCTCAGAAAACACTTTAAGAAGCAAGGTTCTAAAAAGCAACGGTACCTATATACAGAGGTTACCTCCAAAGTCACAACCCCAATAGAATGCTAACTGTTCTTTCTTTTTATAGTTTATTCCTTCTTCTCTAATTTATACCTGATGAATTTTCTTATCCTTTCAATATTTGCAATTTATATTCAATGCTATTACGGATGTCTCTTTCCTTTTATTCAATTGGCATCTCTAAAGTAGCTGATAAAAAATATCTATATGTAAAAGTAGCTGATAAAAAATTTTCTTACTGTGTGCTCATGTCTATTTTTTTCTTATAACCTTTAAATAGTTCCTAATTCAGCACATATACATCCAATAATGTAAGACTTCTCGCAAAGATAAAAAGGAGGAATGGGAAACAGAAAGTAAAGAGAAAAAACTACAGGATAAAAGTGTAGAAATTGGGCCGAATCTATATCTATCACAGGAACTTATGCAAAGTAAGGCAAAAACAATACTAACTAAAAGTCATTACAACAAATTTTTATACATTGAAAAGATTTTAAAGCTCTATTTAAGGATCCACTTATAAATAAAATTCCAGTACATCAAACAAATGTCATTCTTTGAGTCTGTCACCTTGTTAGCTTTAAACCATATTGTTAAATGAAAGAGGGGGGAAAGCAAAGTATTTAGAACTAATGTCTGAATATTCTAGAACATCCAAATGTTTCTAGTGTTAAGATCAGATCTTATCATGAAGATCTAATAGAAAAGGTGTAACTGATGGCAACCCCTAAAAATAATCAAGCCACCTATTCAATTGTAATCAAGTTAAATTTTCATTTTTGCTTTCACCTTGAGACACATTAACAATAACTTACATACTTCTCAAGGAAAAAAAATCCAGTGATGCTGCAAACTGTGGGGAAGAAACTGATTTTGTGACTGAAGAATCACCTGATATGTTCTATTTCCCTTAAGAAAAGAGATTTTAATTTAACCATCTTTAACTTGAAATTCCCAGTATACTGCCAAATTAAGAAATTCTTATAATCAGAATCTTCCTTAGGTATTCCCTAGATTGGTTAATAGTACACCCAGTGTCAACGTAAACCTTTCCCCCTCTCTCATCCTCATCCTTTCCAGACCTCTGACTGAAATGACCACCAAGTCCTATTCATTTTGTGTCCTAAGTGTTCCTCTGGTCTGTTCTCTCCAATCCCTCTGCCACTGCCTTACCTTTTCCCTTACCTTATGTATTGCAACAGCAATCCCTAACATTACTGCCACCAGTCACCCTTTGCACTATGATCCTCACTCCATGCCGTCATCAAGTGATTTTCCAAAATGACAACCTAATGTCTCTTCCACCCAAAACCTTTCACTATGTTCCCATATATAACAGCACACAACTTTTGAGGATTTGAATCCTCCCTGCCTCTCAAACATCACATCCCATTGCGTGATCCCCATTCTGCACTTTAAGCCCCATCATTATCAAACTACACTGCTTGAATTTATAGAACACCCTAAGCTATTTAATGCCCCCGTGCTTCTGCATAGGCTATTGCTTCAATCTAGAATATCTTTCATTTCTCCCCCCTTGGCTTCCTGGTCAACCACTATGAGTCTTTCAAAACCCAGCTCAGATTCCAGGAAGCCATCCCAAGACCCTACCCTGTACCCTTCAGAGATAATATTCCCTCTTCTGCCAACTTTGTAAGTAATAACAGCATTTGTTGGGCATTTACTATGTACCTGACTCTGTTACAAGCAGTTTACATGTATTAACTCATTTAATCTTCACAATAACCCTTCCTGTGAAGTGGTACCATTATTACCTTTGTGAATATGGAAACTAAACCACAGACAAGTAAATAAGCTGTCCCCAAGGATACCCAACTTTTAAGTGACAGGCACAGATTAAAATCCTGACAGTATATATATTTATATTATTGCACTGATCACAGTGAATTTATTTACATGACTGTCATTACCCTGAACTGTGAGCTCCTTGAGGGTGGAGATTATGTCATATTCAACTCTAAAGCCACAATCCCTAGTATAAAGTAGGTAATCAGTATATGCATTTCTTGAGTTGCATGTAAAATAATATTCCTAACCAGTTCAAGAGAAAAGCACTCAGAAACTAGTTTCCAAATAAATACTCAAATATGCTGTAAGTGTTCTAGAATAGAGCAAGACAGTTTTTTCAACATCTTTTTCAGTAAAAAGAATGTCAAATAGAGAGGTTAATACAGACATGAGATTATAGTCCTTATGGACAATGAGGACTTATTTTTACAGTAATACTGCTTAATCACTGCAATAAATCAAAACCCAAAGGTCCATTTACTTAACATTAACTTTTTTTCCTCACTAAATAAGAATTCTTCTTGCTGATCATTCAGGGCAGTGAAAAGAAAGACCTAAATTTACTCTGCTCAAGTGGAAAGAAGCAAATCATAGACCAGCACTACTAATTGCTTCCTTAAGTCTGGCCGAGAAATGTATCCCATTAGGCAATTTAAATAAAACACAGTTGCCTGACTAAGTATATAACAAAGGAATGTCTATAGTTATGTGGACTGGCATTCTATTATTCAAATAATAAAAAATTCTTTAAGCAAAAAAAAAAAAATTAAAATCAAGAAAAAAAAAATACAGATTATCACCAACCCAGGAAAAATCACTTTAGATTAAAACATGTTACATTAAAACATAAGCATTTGTTTATAATATGTCAACATTCTTTGTCTCCTTAAAATTATAAAAATCAGTTATTCTAACACTAATGATGAAAAACTTCAAGACCAAATCTATACTTAGTGTGCTCTCACAGTTACAGTCCTCTGAGCCATCCTGAAGGGCAGTAATTAAAACCCAAAGGGACAGCACCAGCAGCAACAGTGCACACATTACTTGTTAGAGTAATCTGCACCCTGCCCTGCTTTCTACACACTTGTACACTAAAGAAAGGTAAATCTGCTGTCAGAAGAAGCCTGGTTTAGGCCACAGTGGGTTTAGGCCACAGCAGGGCAAACTCTATCCCCAGATATGTCTTACCATTTCTTGGTACACTCAACCATCAGCTCTTGGTAGGAGGCCACAAACTGGAACTTAGATGCATGTTTTCCTACTCGCTGCAGTCTCTTCCAAACTGAAGCCATGATGATCAGTCAATACACTGGAGTAGTTGTGGGTTAGCAACACAGCAGCTTTAACAAAGCAGAGGGTCCAAAGCAAAAAAGCTTTGCATATATGTCTGTACTTTTAAAAACTCAACTATAACTTGAATTGATGTTTGGGGTCCATAAGTCTTCTCCCAGTTTCACTGAGTAAATCCCATCTTAGATGAATGGCCCAGTCAAGAACAGTGTGATACACATGACAGGATGAGTGAGTGGAGGTTCCCTCATGAAGACATCACCATCCCACCTCAGGGGCTATATGATGTGTATTCCGAAGAACTGAAAAGCAAAACAAAGAGAAAAAATATGAGGAGAGAAGCATGACAAGTGACTAACCACCCATGTTAGATAACACTGCAACAGACAACCCCAGTTGTCCACGTTTTTCAAACAATGAAACAAAACACCAACCTCAAAAGCCAGTAACATCAAGGATACACGACACCAAGGAAAAAATGACAATTCACATTGAAGACTTAGAGCAACACATCCGGTAATCAGCATCAACAATCCAGAGACCATGTCAGGGCCCTACCTCCCCCCTCCTAGCATCGCTGAAGGGCGTGCTGAGCGGGAAAGTGTAGGGATGCTGTTTCATGTCCACGGCAGTCAGAGGGAGGAGTGGGGTATTTTAAAATAAACTTTGTTTTTCATCTGATAATTAATAGCCTTGAGTCCCAGAAAGTGTGCTTGGAACAAATTTAGGAGCAGGGAGGAACGCTGTTGTTGAGTCGGAGGGGGGAATGGATGGAGAAAGAGGAGTGGAGGGAAATCTCAAAGCAGAGGGAGGGCAACGTCCCGGCTCCAGGCCACTTGGGCTCTCCTTCACCTTCGCTGCCAACTGGAAAGAAATGGAAACTCCAGCCTGGGCGTGAAGCAATGACCAGCGGGGCAAGTGCACGGTGCGGGGTGCGGGGTGCGGGGTGCGGGGTGCGGTGCCTCCCTCCCCCATCCTCAGGGAACAGTCCACCGGAGCCTCCTCTACTCAGGCACAGAGCCCAGACCCCTGCCCCCCAGCGGAGGCAGGCGGTGGCTCGCCCGCGGTCCCTGTCACCCAGGCGATGCCAGAAGATCCCAGCCAGATCCCCGAGCCCCGGCCCCACCGCACGTCCACTCCCACCCCCTCCTCACACCTCTAATCCCGCTGTCGGGTTGAATCTGGCCCCGTACCCTCCTCAGCGCTGCTCCTCCGTCGCCGCCGCAGCAGCAATCGCCGCCGCCGCCACCGAGTCCTCCATCCCCGCCGGAGCCACATGGAAGAGCCGAGCCAGCCGTGGCGCTCGAGGGAGCTGGGGTCTGCAGCCCCTCAGGCGGACGACGCGCCTCACGCCCGCCCCCTCCCGGACAGAGTCGCCCCGCGACCGTCCCCCACCCTACAAAACCCTGCCAGAGCCGCTGCTCAGAGCCCAGCACCCCCTCCCCCGCCTTCCTCCTCCGCCACCATCATCATTACCTCCCCCGCCGCACCTCTCACACTAACCCTACCCAAGGCGGCTCAACCTCCGTCCGCTCCGCCGCCATTGGCCAGGCCCCGCGTGTGCCCCGCCCATCTCAGAGGCCGAGCTTTTGAGCAGCGGGGCCTCCTCATTGGTCGATCCGAGTGCCCATCACAGAAGCTCCACTTCCAAGATCTGAAGGTGTTTTTCCCCCAGCTGGAACGCGGCACACCAATCTACCCTTCTTATTAAAAAAAAAAAAAAAAAGGAACTTACTAAGGACGATCCCGCCCATTCCCATTCCTCTGATTGGCTTGGAGAGGGAAGCAATAGGCAGGAGGAGTAAGGACTGTTTATTGTGAACTGGAATATGGTTGCTGAAGGTGGATGTCTATCAACCGCGAGCCGGGTGCCGGGCGGGGTTTCTGGCTCGAGACTGTGGTTGAGAGCGCGGGGCTACCTTCGCTGCTGCTGTGGGGAGTGCAGCTGCTGTGGTTTTCTCTCCTCCTCTCCTATCCCCACCCTAGGAGCTGGGTGCTCCCTCTCCTGTGTCATTAAGCAACTAGCGTGAGTGGGCACAGCCTTTTTTCACCCGATTTCCCCTGACAAACTGAAGTAATGACCCAGCCAGCCCCGCCTAACATTCAGTCAACGGGTCTTCAACGGGACTCAAAGCTCAAGCTAGACACAAAATGTTTACAGTGCAATTTCTTCTTGTTCTAATTAAAATGTCTTTGAATCCTGGTTTCTCTTCATCGTCGTGGATCTTTTCCCCCGATAGGAACTGTACATGGATTTGGGAGTGGCTGGCATGTGAAAAAAAAAAGGGGGGGTGGTTAATAAGCAAAGGAGAGGATGAAATAACCTAAGAGTGTGAGGGCAGGGGTACTTAACCTTGTTAAAAGAGCCAAGGACCCTTTTGGAAATGCGATGAAAGCTCTTAGACGCTTTCCTAAGGAGGAAAAAAATGTCCAGTCATAAATTTGCTTTCTATTTTAGTTGTTTCACATACGCCTGTTGTAGAGAAAGAGGACAAAGAATGAAATTTGGTGGGGAATCCCAACATTTCAGGAATAAGCGGAGTAAAGTGGGAAAGAGATGGAGGGGAAATGTAGGAACACCCTACGAACAATCAGCAAATAGTTTGAAAAACGAGGAAAGCTAACATATAAAAAGAAAATAAGCAGGATGGATCCTGGAAACAATTAAGGATTATTCTTAATCTCACTAAGGATGGAAGAGTAGGATGCATGGACAAAGTAGCTTGAAAGGTGTGTTAGGATCTAAAGAAGGATTTGAATGACTCAAAAGAACTGCAGTGATGGGTGAGAATTCAGCACATCTATAGAGATAGATGGGAAAGAAAAAGGAGAAAGATAGTGAAGAATCAACAGAGATGGGGAGACAGAAGGTTTGAATTCAGTATCTCATTCTATTTCCACTTCAGTAAAGAAAGGAACCAACGTGCGTTTTACAGAAAAGGGCATATATTAGCACTTATTTTACTATAGTATTAATTATAAAATATTAAGACAACCATAATAAGTATATCGATTCTTATTTTATGTACATCTTAGTAAACCTGAGTGATTACTAAGTCACTACAACCTAAAGCCATTATGATCTCATACAGTGATATATTCTGCATCACTAACAGACTTTAAGTGTAGGTTTTTTTAATGGCTAATTTTTAAAAATATTTTATTGATTTGTAGAGAGAGGGGAAGGAAGAGGGAGAAATTGCTAATTTATAAAAATAGTCAAAACTATTTTCATCTAAGTTGCCCTTCAGAAACAACCTACATGATGATCAGGAGGTTTTTGTATCCTATTTATTATTGTTCTTCAGAAGTCCTCAAATGTCCTCATGTGGTTAACCTGGTTTCTTTTAATACTATGTCCCTTCCTCAAAAAAAAAAAAAAAAAAAAAAAGGAGACTTATTGTAAAGAATTTATCTTAAAAGTAATCAGTTTTAAATAAGTATCCTTCTTTAAAAAAGAAAAGAAAAGAAGTGTGCTAGACCCCCAGGGAATCTTTCTCAAGTTGTAAGAAACTTAAGAGAGCAGCAAAGAGTTTCTTAAAAGACAGCTCTTCTTTGAAGGGGAAATATTTTCTTGGACATAAACTCTTATTTTTAATTCTTGCTGCAAAGGTACTTAAGACCAGATCAAGGAATTAAAGCAGACCTAACATTGTTCAGCAGCTGAGCTCAAATTCAAAAGGCTGGCTCATGGATGCTCCAAAGAACAACTACTTCTTCCCTCATAACTTTTTTTTTAAATAACTTGTTTGCTAACTAAATTTATTGAAGAAAATATAGAAAATAGAAATATAGCCCTTCAATATAGAAAATTTGATGTCTTTTTTTCCATGTAGCTGATAATTATTGAATGTCAACTGATTATTGGTCATATTAAATACTATTATTAGTACATAAAAGATACAATCCCTATTCTCAAAGAGTTTTCAAAAACATGTTCAGCATGCATGCAAGAAAGTAATATGAATTACTTAACCGCAAATCATGCCTATCTTTCTGGGATGTTGAAAAGATGCAAGATATTGCCCTGGCTGGTTTGGCTCAGCGGTTAGAGCATCGGCCTGCGGTCCGGAGAGACCGGGGTTCGGTTCCCGCTAAGGGCACGTACTTCGGTTGCAGTTTGTCCCCGGCCCTGGTCGGTCGTGCGGGTGGCAGCCACTCGATGTGTCCCTTCACGTCGATGTTTCTCTCTCTCTCTCCCTTCCTCTCTCTCCCTCCCACTCTATCTGTACAAAAAAAAAAAAAAAAAAAAAATGGAAAAATATCCTCGGGTGAGGATAAAAAAATAAAAAAAAAATTGTCAGAGGTATTAGAGCAGGATTTAACTACTAACAGAATTTATCTATGCCTTAGTCATAGTAATAAGATTTACTCCCAATAATAACACTGCAGGTTTTTGCATTGTTTTCCAGTTACCGTAGCACTTATATTACACAATTTGTAACTGCTAATGAAGTTATTTATTTTAAACCCATAGCAAACAATTTACTCCTAAAAATCTTACAATTTTTATGTACTTAAAATCTCACTATGGCATTTTGAAATGTTAACTAACTTTTTTTTTTTTTTTTTTTTCAGTAGTTGTTTTTCCAGATATTTCTTTTTATCCTATGGCCTTCCCTCTCTTATAACCCACCCTAAGACACCCTCAGCATCACACCCACTCACTTAGGCTTGTCTTTTCTTAATGTTTCAGGAAATTGAATATAACAGAATGCAGAGAAACAGAATTTTTCCTTGGTTTTTGAATTTTAAAATCGTATCCCTTTAGCGTGTAATGAAATGGATCCAGTTAGAGACCTGCACTGTTCAATACAATAACCTCTAGCCACATATGACTACTGAACACTTTAAATGTAGCTAGTTCAAGTTGAGATGTGCTGTAAGTATAAAATGTACACCAACTTTAAAACTTGATATGTAAAAAAGAATATAATGCAGTTTATTAATTTTTTTATATTGACTAGCTGTTGAAATAATATTTTGGATATACTGGGTTAAATGAAAGGCATAAAATTATTTTCAGCTGTTCCTTTACATTTTTTAATGTGGCTGTGGGAAAAATTTAAAGTATATATGTGGCTCACATTATATTCCTATTGGACAGTGCTGGCACAGACAATAGTAAAATGTCCTTTCCCAGAGATGAGAGAAATGGATTTTCTGGACTAGAAGCAAGAAAAAGTTAGAAGAAATGTAATGAGAGGCTAGACGTTGGGGAACCCCTATAACTGGATTTACTGCACTATTCTCACTCTATTGGGCACAGGCCTTGGAGGGAGGCTCATGAAATGGTAGGATC